AAATTGACTGAAATTGCATGCCTGTTCTGTTTTTTACTGGATAACACAGCAATTTGAGACTCGAATTTGACTGACTTGTGATCTGAATCTTATAAATGTGTGTTCTGAGAAATTGTACCTCTTTGAGTCTACTTGTGCATTAATGTAAGTTTTTTGGCTGAATCAGACCCTTGCCCTTTGTTGCCGGTTGACTCGAGTCAGAAGCGGACTCGGTCGGGCGACTGGTGACCCTGGGAAAAGTTTGGTATACTTGAGTATGATCACGAAGTCTGGTGGAGACTAGCCAGTGAGTTGGCTAGTAGGGGGAAAATGGAATGAATGGCAAGAACAATGGAGGGGTTTTCACTTACAAATGTAAATTTTTAATGCTAGAGGAATAAGGAAATGGTTGGTGAATGAATGAACGAATGGCTCCACGTGAGCATGTATCCTTTTAATGAATGTGTTACCTTTGATTTTTATATTGAAAATGTTTTCTGGTTTATTTGTTATTCCATGATTAATGTCTTGGACTTAATTGTTTAATTATGTGTGTAGAACTTCACTGGGTTTTAACTCATTCCTTTAGTTTTGTTTCCTTACAGGGGATGCGAGCGAGGGCGTGAGTCCTGTACAGGCTAGCTTGGTCTAGTTTTTTTGAATTTTTTTTATTGTACTCGCGCTAGTGCTTGGATAAGGTTGGATGTATTGAGAACTTAAAGCTTTTGTTATAATTGGGATTGTATTTCTGTTTGAGATGGATATGAATGTAAGTATATGTTTCAAGTTTGAGAATTGTTATTTCGCTTAGTCTCGAGGTTGTATCTTTTCACTTGAAGAGAACGATCGAGTCCTGGTGAGAGTTGGGCAGGCGGTCCGCCGAACCCTTTGGTTTACCTTAGGGGGAGGTGGGGATGTCACAGGTGGTATCAGAGCCACTTCGCGTGGTCTCTGCGCGGAGTGAGTTTGGACCAAGTGGTGTTATGGTCCTGCTTTCGTGAATGCGTCGAAAGGTATAAGTGCTATTTTGAGCGTAAGCTATGAACCGTGCATGTTATATGTGTAAAAATCTTTATCATGATACTTGAGGACAATAGTTATGTACGTCAGGTAGGAATCTCGATTGTAGATAATTTACTCTTGGGACTAGCTAAGTCGAGTGATGAATTATCTCGGATTCTTGTACCCGAGTACGCGGGAGTTGAGACGGCAATACTAAGGACTTGCGATCTTTATTGCGGGAGTATGAATGGGCTAATGTTTGGTGAGAGTAAGTGTAAGGGTTAACGAACGTCTAGTTCGGATAGTAAAAGAAGTGAGAGATCGGACGGGGAATATTTTAACCGAGTATGGAATGGCATGTCGTGTTTTCTTCTTGTTTTGTCCCTGTATTGCTACTGTATGTATTTGGCTTGTAGCATTTCAATAGTCACATGTAAAGTACTTGCTGCACTTGATTTTGTCTAACTTGATAAGTCTCCTTGTGCATTTGGTGTGTTATATCTTGCCATTTTAGTCAATTTACCTTGTTTACATACTAAATCACCTTTTGAAAAAAAAAGAGAGAAAAGGATATGGAGGGGAGACATAGTCACGGACGTGGAGTTAGTCGTGGCCGTGGGGCTAGACAAGTTCAAGAACCAAAAAAAGAAAGAGAAAAAGTAGTTGAGTAAGATCGTGAACCGAGGGTTGAGGTAGGAGACCAAGTAGCGACGGTGATACAACAATGACAAATATCTAAGTACGATTGGTAAATCAACAAGGCCAAATGCCAGTGAATCAATCCCAGAATCCCGAGATAGGAGAGGATAGGGTTCTGGAGCGGTTTCAAAAGTTTTTTCCTCCTAAATTCTTAGGAGGGCCTGATCCAGATGTAGCTGAACAGTGGTTAGAGACAATGATTAATATCTTTGCACCCTGAACTACACGGAGCAAAGACAGGTGAACTTTGTTGTATTCCAATTCGAAGGACCGGCCGAGCATGGTGGAATGTTATTAGGGCAAAGTAGGAGAGAGAACAGACTGCATGGCATACAGGTGAACTTTATAAGGAAATTTAACGAGAAGTACCTTTCACCTTTGGTCCAACAAAAGAGAGGATGAGTTTATTGGATTGCGTCAGGGAACCCAGAGTGTGGCCTAATATGAGACTAAATTTATAACTAAACTGTCTAAGTTCGCTTCTGAATTAGTGGTTATAGAGCGAAGGAGAGTAAGACGGTTCATACAAGACTTGAATTTGGAAATCCAGGAAGTTTTAGCGGCGGTTCAAGTTAATACTTTTACGGAAGCTCACGAGAAAGCGCAGAGAATTGAGAATGCGAAGCACAAGTGAAAGCTTATCAAATGCGAAAAAGAAGTGCATCTAGTAGCATACCTGAGGAATCTAGAGAAAAGATAACGCCCTCCAAAGTGCAAAAAGTGAACCATTTACCTCATCCACCATGGATATTAGGAGCACTAGATGAAGGATCTACAAAGAAAGTCAAATAGGACAAGAAGAGATTTCTGGAGAAGGCCAAACAGTAGCTCCTCGCTTGGCTTGTAGATATTATGGGAAGACCAATCACACTGAGAATGATTGCTAGAGGAAATGGCGAAAGTGTTTGATTTGTGGGAGTAGCAATCATCAACTTAGTAATTGCCCGAAAAAACAGCTACGAGAGAATAGTACTCAACAGGGGGATGGAACCAAACCGAAACAAACTAATGAAAGAGGGAACTGAACAAAAGTATCAGCACAGGTATATGCCGTGGACCAGCAACACGCTCCGGGGTCATCTGAGGCAACGAAAAGTAAAAATTTCGAGGACGAAATTTCTTAAGGGGGAGAGAGTGTGAGAACCCGAAAATTTTCACATTTTCTAAGTATTATTTTATCTCTTTGCCTACATTTTTATACTGTCCTTTAAAATATTAAATTTTCTATACATTTTATAAGTAAGTACAGTTTTAAATCATTTTCATGGTATAATTTAGTGTACGTTAAATTTGAAGTGCATTATGGACGGGGGATCCGTTAGTGCGGTAAGTGCGATAAATTTTGGATCACTGGTTTGAGTTTTGAGCTAAGTGTTATTATTTTCCAAGGTGCTAGGTTATAAGTAGGGATTAGCTAGGAAGATTAGTGTTGGAAGACAATAAGATAAGGATTAATCTTGGCTAACCACTTGTCTTAAATTTATTGGACTTTTGACTTTGACCAAAGACTTACCTCTTGAATAAAATCAAAATTTGACCAACATTTTCTTCATTTTGTTCTTCCTTTGGCCGGCCACCTTGAGAGAAAAACAAGAAAGAAAAACTTCATTTCTAGCTCCCAAACTTGTTTGAATCTTGAGTTTTAGCCAACCAAATTGGAAACTACTCCATACAAGTGTTCACTAAGAAGTTTAAAGACTTTGGTGGAGTTATTTTGGAGAAGGAAAGACTAAGCTACCATTTTCCTTGAGATTCCAAGGTAATTTGATAAGAACATCCCTCTTTGTTCCTGTGACGCCCGAAAGAGGAAGAAAAGAAAAACTTTTGGTGAAAAGGGAAATGACCAAATCCGGCTAGTTCTTAGCCGGATTGCTGGCCGGATTGTTGATGGATTTTGAAAAAAATTAAGTTCGTCACTGCCCTAAATCTGGCCAGAAATCGACTGGATGTGACATGTCACAGGCGGCCACCAACTTTGACCGGTTGTTTCTTTCATTCTTATCTTGCTTTTTGGCTGAAAATATCTTCATTTCTTTCCTTAGCTTGGCAGAGCTTCATGACGGAGAAAAAGAGAGAAAGAAAACTCCAACTTCATTCTTCTATTTCTTGCTTACATCTTGAGATTTCACCGATGGTTTTGAAAACTACTCCATACAAGTGTGTACTAAGGAGGTTTAAAGCTTTTGACGGAGTGATTTTTGGAAGAGAAGCTCTAAGTTGTTAGCTTTTTTGAGTTTTGAGATAAGTTGGATAAGAAAGTTTCCTCTTGCTGTAATAATGGCTAATTGGTGGTTTGTAGAGGTTAGATATGCTATTTTGTGGATGATTTCATGATTTTAAATAGAGTTGGGCCAATTTCTGATTTAGAATGTGAGGATCGTAAAATTTTTCTTTTTTATTTTATTTTCCCGCGTGTATTTTTCTTACTTTATTTTATTATTGTAATTTTCTAAAATTTTTATAAGTGAGTATAGTTTTTAAATCATTTTTCTAGTATAAGATAGTTTGGGTCAATTTGGAAATGCATTAAGAACGTAGGATCCGCTAGTGTGGTTAGTGCGATAAAATTTTGGATGACTAGATTAAGTTTTGTGGAAACCAATCAAGATTTGAAAATCAATCAAGATATCAATCAAGATTTGGAAGCAATTAACTACTTTTCAAAAACTCTAATTCAATTAGAATAGCAACTTAACTAACTGAAATTGGTTTAATTATGGTCAACATGACCTTAGCCTTTATTCCCCTTATTAAGGATTCAAAAATAACTCAAGACTAACTCTAATTAACTAACACTTATTGCTGAAAACTTAATTAAATAAATAACAAGAAATAAGCATGACACAAGTTCAGATCTTCAATGATTCTTGAGATCGATATTTATGTTTTCATCATTTGTGATACGATATATGTAAAATAAAAAGGTGATTGAAAAGATAAAAAATTATATTTGTGATGCAATTTTTTGGCCAAATAATAGTTATCCAATTTCTCGTTGAGAACCAATAATAACCGTATATACCAATCTACATATCATTCGTTCCGTCTTTCCCCGGCAATCAACCCGCCTCACATGGCGATGGCTTCACAGTCCAACGGTCAACCCCTCACCTGCTTCACCGACTCTTGCGTAATCCACGAATCCCCCCAATCCCCATTCCCCATCAAATCCCCAATGCCTCGCTGTTACATTACACCATTTTGCGATCTGTGGTTGGAGGGGAAAAAGCAAAAGAACAAAATCAAAAAAGGAACGTGGCATTGCTGTTTAGGCAAGTACACACAGGTTTCATCCTCGAACGTTAAACCCACAACTAACACTTTACTAATTACCTTAAACTATTGCGTAAACAATTTTTACTAGTCACATTAGTCATAGGTTTCACTCAAAATTCAACACCACCACTCTTTCTCTTGATCCAAGGAGAACTTTTATTCACTTATTTATCAATTAATTTAATTATTCATGTGACTTTTTTTTTTAAATTTAGTTTCACTCAATTCTTAATCCAATCGTTGATTTATACATTAAGCGTCCCTCTTACTTGAATCAATTCTCTTATTTTCTTGAAGCCCGCCATTTTTTGCCATCTGGGACGAAAAGCCCAACTTTGTTTTTAAGGTTGAAATAATTGTGATATTGAAATATTTGTGGCATTTATTAGGTGGGTTCAGGCTTGAGAGATGGATGCTGCAGACACGAGTTCATTCTTGAGGTTTGGATTTATGCTGATTAATTATCTATTTTTTGAAATTTAATTGGCAGACCCTTGAATTTTGTGATGCATTTATTTTTCTTTGCATTAAATTTGCTTTCTGGACTGGATATGATTTTGCTGAATATGCAGATTTTGACATCTAGGGACAGACTATGTTCAGTACTCTGCTTTTTGTAGTTATGCAGATTTTGACATCTAAGGACAGATTCTGTTCAGTACTCTGCCTCTTGTACTTTTACTGAACTGCCTTCTTCAATGTCGTCAGTAATTATGTCATGATGTTTCCCCTTTCTTTTCTTTTCTTTTTTGAAGTATTTTTCTTTGATTATTCTTAAGTGGTTTATGATATGGTATGCTATCTTTAGACTGTTTAGCTTGAAAATGCATGCAGAAATGCATTGACTGGAGCTAATTGTCCATTTAGTTAGTGTTTTATTGACTTTTTCTTTTCTTCCTCAATTAAATCTGTGATAGTTACCATATCACCTGAAGCCTCACCACAATTGTGCTACTGACTGGTGGTATAATGTTCCTCTTTGTAAAATTGTTCAAGTACTTTCTGCAAATATACTTTCTGCGATACTACTGCAAGAGTGTGTTTGTGCGTCTGTGCCTTTTTTTTTTCCTTTTTGGATTTTGTTTGCTCAGTTGGGATTTAAAAACATGAGGGATATCTTGCAATGCAGTTTGTTTGCTGCAGTCTCATATGGGATTGCTTCAATGGCAATGGTTTTCATCAATAAGGCAGTGCTGATGCAGTATGCACACTCAATGACTTTGCTTACACTCCAGGTAAAACTTGACGAATGATTGGTGTATTCTATAAATCTACTCATGTGATTCAGCTCATATTTGATAGGTACCTGCTAGAGTAATGCTTTAAATGGTTTTCAGATTATTGACTAGGTTTCTATTTGCCATGTTTGAGCTATGAGCAGCAATTGGCAACTACTTTGCTCATTCATTTTGGTAGATCCATGGGATACATGAAAGCCAGAGGACTAAATGTGGAGACAGCCAAAAAACTTATATTTGTTTCGTTATTCTACAATGCAAATGTTGCATTTGCTTTAGCAAGTTTAAAAGGAGTAAACATTCCAATGTACATTGCCATCAAAAGATTGACACCACTTGCTGTTCTAATAGCTGGATTCTTTACTGGAAAGGGAAAACCTACAACTCAGGTCACCATCTATGCTTCAAGACTATCCATGTACACTTAGTAGTGCAGTTACCTTTAGTAGTTCTGTTTCTTTTCTGCTTTTCTTGTTTCTGTTAGTGCTGCCTTTACATTCTTCTTGGGTATTCTCATTTGCGGCCAGATAATCTTTTTCTTAACTGCACATGTTGTACATGCGTCAAGCAATTCCTTCCTGTAAACTGGTAGCAATCTGTATCTTTTTTTTTTTTTCGGCGGTAGTTATACTTGAGTTAAATCTTACAATCAGTTGTGCATCCATGAGTAGAAAGTAAAATTATGCGTTGATGAGCCTGCTTTATACATTTGGACTAAAAAATCTTGCCCTGTACCATTTTCTCTTAATACCATCCTTATCTTTTCAAAATTCGTGAAATAAGAAGGAACTACTTTCAAGTGTTAATGGCTATGAAATTGTTTACCATATGGTTTGCTCCAGACAATGATTGTTTACTTCACATGAGAGAATTTATATGAGAAAAGAATAATAATGGAATTTGATTCTGCGCTCTTTGAAATTTTTTATTTTGAAAATGACTCATTAGCTCTTATATAAGTTTTAGAGTGCTTCTTCCTTTAATCTATGCAGCAGTTGTGCTGAAATCTGAAGCTGAATTTCCATATGTCAAGCTGCTGATACGAGATTCTGAACCAAAGGAATCTTTGTATAACTCATTGTTGAATTAAATCAAGCAATTAATATATTTTGAGTTGAATTGAACTCTTATTGCAAGTGTTTCAACTATATGAAAGTCAATGTGAATTTTTGCATTAACATTTTATTGTCAATTTAAAAATTATGCTTGAATAAGGTTACCAAGAACTTCTCCTTACCTGTTTGTATCTTCCAATTTCTTTCCAAATTTCTCTGCAGCCATTATCTCAATGGCTACCAATCAAACTAATAAGCTTCTGATTATGCTTCTTGTCCTTCTCATCTTATTTCAGGTAACCCTTTCAGTTATGCTGACAGCTGCAGGTGTAATTATAGCAGCACTAGGAGATTTTTCTTTTGATCCTTTTGGATATAGCATGGCTCTTACTTCTGTTTTCTTCCAGGTCTTGCTTGAGTTCTTTTGTTCCTCTGGCCTTTTTATGTTTTGTTTTCAACTTTTACTTTGATACTTAACATGTCTATTTGATGGAACTTTTTGTTTCGATTCAGACCATGTACCTTGTATTGGTGGAGAGGTCAGGTGCGGAGGATGGGCTGTCATCAATTGAGATCATGTTCTATAACAGCTTTTTGTCTTTACCATTTCTCCTGTTTCTCATCATCGCTACTGGAGAGTTTCCGAACTCCTTGTCATTGTTGCTTGCAAAGGTTAAGACCTTTCTAGTTTCCTCTACATTTGATTCATACACATTATTTTAATTTAAGTAAAACTGAACTGATTTTAAAGCTTAATGAATTTGATGATCTCTTTTATGAATTTTGAATGCTCAAGAATGTGGACTTGCTACACACACATAGCACACACACATACACACATGCAGACACACATACATATGTATAATATTTTAGTGATACGTTGGCTGGTTAGGAGTACTTCTTATCGTGAAGCATCAAATTAGCATTTCTTTTGCTAATCAAGGGAATCAACCATATGTATGTATGTATGTATGTGATATACACACACACACACACGCATGCACGTACAACACATGCAGACACACATATGTATAATTTTTTAGTGATATTTTGGTTGGTTAGAGTACTTCTTATCCCAAAGCATCAAATTAGCATTTCTTTTGCTAATCAAGGGAATCAACTGTATTTTACAAATATGTTGCCTGGTTAGGAATATATGTGTCTTGGAAGCATTTATTCTTTTGCTATTCAAGGGCGTTAACTCTATTTTAGTAATATTTTGGCTGGTTAGGAATATTTCTGTTCTTGGAGCATTATCATGAAATACTTAGAAGAGAGTGAAGGGTACTAAATGGGAAGTAGAAGAGACTTTTCTCTTTATTTTCCAGGGTATTCTAGGATAAACTGGGAGACCAAATCAAGTAAATGCTTAAGTCTGTATTTGCTCCACTTCTATTATTACAAAAATCAACTAGGAATTTGGAACTGTTTACAGTTTCTATAGAGCATACTGAATGCCAGGAAATTGTTAGACACCAATTCCATAGGTTGTGTTCTTCCTATTGCATTTTCTGACAATCTTTGGCTTTGGTGCAGCTATTAAGTCTGCCATGAAGCATGCACATGGATCATTCCTTCTTTTGTTCTCTTGTTGTGTTGGGACAATGCACAGAGATGCAAGCTTTTAAAATATTTAAGCAAATTCATTATGTTTTTCCCTATACATGATTAAAATGTTGTCATCTATTCACAAATAAACACATTCTGAGGTCTCTAATATATCTTGATTTATAAGACGACTCATTAACGTGCAGAAGCTGAGTGTTTTTGTATTGCATACTGCAATTGATTTCTAAAGGAGGTTACTGTTGATGCCCCACTCCCTTTCTTGTAGCTTTTTCAGGTTTACTTAATAAACAGGTTCGCGCCCATGCCACAGACTGACCTCCAACCACACAATAAAAAAAGCGACAAAAATGAAGGACTAACTCACACATTTTGTTTCTATATCTGGTGGATGTTCAGACATAATTATCTTCTCAGATATATTCTTTTTCTGTTCTAATGGTTCTATACATTTTAGGCAAACTTCATTTTAGTCCCTCTAGTTTCTACTTTTTCTACATTTGATGCCTTACACGAATATTTACTTGAAGATGTTTTAGGCAGGAAGATCTTCATTTTTTCAAATGTCTACTTTGGTTTCACTTTAGCCAGGAAGATCTTTTGCGTGATTGTTTTCCTCAATGTTTATTCTTTTTTATTCTCTTGCCATGTGTCTCTACTTCTCTCTCCCCTTTGTATTATTCCTCTTTCCTACCCTCATTCTACATGCTTTCCTCTGTCTCTATTCTCCCCCTTGTTGACCTCTTTCATGCCTCCTCAGCTTTACCCCCTCGATCTTCTGCCACTTTCCCCACCTTGTCTGCCTTCTCCTTTTCTCTTCCTCTTCATCTACATGCTTTTCCTCACCACTCCCCCCATTTTCTTCTCTCTCCTTGCATTCCAGCAAAATCCATCACCCTCCCTCTCCCGACAGTTGTTGTGGGCAGAGGAATGCTGGTGGTCTTGTGGCGCTTTATGGTAGTGGTTGGTATGGTGGTGGGGATGGTGTGCCAGTGGCTTGTGGGGGAGTGGCAAAGTCACTGGAGGGAAAGGCATGATGGGAAGTAGGAATCAAGTTGGGCAGGTAAAAATGGACACTGGGGTGACCATTGGAGATGTGGGATTGAATGTTGTTTATGGGGTCAGAACAGTGCAAGCAGGAGCAGGAAGAGGGGCCAATGAATGAGTTTTGGATTTAGCAAGTGTGGAACAGGTGCATGGTGGTTGTGGTAAGTGTTCATGCATTAAGCCAATGCCTTATTGAACCTGGGGTCAGAACAGTGCAAGCAGGAGCGGGAAGAGGGGCCAATGAATGAGTTTTGGATTTAGCAAGTGTGGAACAGGTGCATGGTGGTTGTGGTAAGTGTTCATGCATTAAGCCAATGCCTTATTGAACCAAAATAAGGTGTTTCCTAAGCTAGACAAGCAAGGTGATCAATCTGGAGTGAGGAGTCAAACAGCCTTAAATAGAGATAGAGCCTAGCAACTGTAAACTCTGGTACTTATTGGTGAAGGTCACAATCACATCACAAAGTATGGCACTCGTATATTAGACGGTAGAAAACTTGTAGTGCTTCAGATCCGTCCAAATTGAGTAATATGGAAATTTTGGTAGCACTGATAATGGGGATTTTCCAGAAAAATTTCTGGGTCAATCATGCCCGTCTGAGTCAAGCATGGTAAGTCTTAGCCTTCGCTGGAAAATAGAGGAGTTTATGCTGGTAGAAACTATAGGCAAGTAGTAACCATGAGCCTGTCTAGTGTTGTCAATGAGTTATTCATATAGTTGTCACATGATATTTTACATGGCCGAAATGACATGTTCTGAGATTTTGTCTGGATATGTTTTAAATGCTATTCATTCATAATAGATAAATCACTATTTTGAGTAAGAGTGTCAATATGATACCCTGACCGTAGCAGGTGAGGTTTTTGTGTGGATTTATTATTATTACTTTCTGTAGAATTTTAAATTACTATGGCACTGGTATTGTTTCCTTTTTCAAAGATCCTGATATCAAAATTGATGGTTAGCTGTTCATCTGTTCATTCTATCATGGATGTTAACATAAATGAGAAACACTAATAAACCCCAACTATATTATGTTTAAGATGATTGAAAATGACTCAGTTTTTGCCCTTTTCTACCTTGGAAAGTACTCCTTGTGAGATTATTGACACGTACACGACTGTATTTAGCATTTCCTTTTGTCACATTTTACTTTTATGTTTTATGATGTCAGACTAGCTTAATGTTTTATCCGCTATGATTTTTTGTAGACAGGGTTGGTCTGTATAAAGTAGGATTCTGGTTTTTTTATGATTGAAGATGTTCCATCCCCCCCCCCCTTCCCCTCTCTTTTGTTTTTTGTGAAGTTCTTCACATAGAACTTCAGCTTTGGCAGTAAGACCCCCTGACCAAGCTTTCCTTTAGGCTTTCTGCAAGAACCTCACCTTTGATCATGAATCAAATTTCTTCTTTTCCCCATGCTACTGCCTGCATAAATAATGTTACCTTTCTCTACATAGATAGCACTTCCTTCAAGAAATCATGCAAGTTAAATGCTAGCATTGTATGCTATGCACATACTGGAATGGAGATTCCTTTTGCAACTAGGCAATCAGCTTGCACATTACTAGGTACTGGAACCAGTCAATAGGGTCTTCAAGTCAACTGTGTGATGTTTGTGTATTTGGTGTCATAAAGTCCTAGAGAAATTCTAGAACATAATTGATCTTTCCAGCTGAGTCAAAGCATAGTACCTCCCCATTCCCGACCATTGGTATGCCTAATCTTTGCTGGAGGCCTAGTGTGCATAAGAGACAAATGCTGGATAAGACATTGCTGAATAGACATTGATTAGAGTGTTTCACATTGTTCTCTAACATTTTTTCATCAAATGGAAGCCGCTAAAAAGGGATACACGCATGCAAGCTCCTCTCTCATTTTTTGTTTATTTTGTTTGAATACTACAGTCCATTGAGTTCCTATATTTCATGTGAGGTTGAGCTCGTACATTGCTGTCTTTTAAAATATTGCTTTGTGCTGTTCTTATTTCCAGTATACTCACTGAAATCATCTTTTTGGCATGGGCATCTTTTCTCTGGACAGAGTACTTCACTATCGTTTTTGGTTATTCTTCTTCTTTCTCTGGTGATGGGAATTGTTCTCAACTACACAATGTTCTTGTGTACCATTGTTAACTCTGCTTTAACCACCACTATAGTTGGTGTCCTCAAGGGGGTCGGTTCAACGGTATGTAAGGATTCAATTTTTCTTTGTAGTTTAATTACTATATCTATCTAAAGAAAATCTAAGAGCCTGAAGCCAGTTTTTTTGGACATCTTTTCTATGCTTTTCATAAGAGGTTAGATAATTGATGCACTCATTTCTTTGCTTCTGTGCAGACCTTTGGTTTCATATTGTTAGGAGGAGTGCAAGTGCACGCACTGAACGTTACTGGACTAGTAATCAATACAGCTGGTGGTATATGGTACTCATATGCGAAATATCACCAAAAGAAGAGCAAGTTGCCAAAGCTAATGTCGGATGTGGAAGCCCATCGCAAGTGAAATTCATGTGGGTGGGTGTCCAGAAGCCGGCTTAATAACTTATTTCATTCTTTCTGTTTAAAATTTAGGTGCTTCGTCCATGAAGTGGGGACTGGAGAGTAACAGGGCATTCATTATACATGACATAACGCTAATTTGAGCTCGAGTGATTGTAAGCCAATTTCATGTTGAAAAGAAGAAAGTGATCTTGTGGAAAGGAGGGAAATATTGAGAAACAGTGAGGGAACAAATTGTCAGAAGATATTAGAATTGAGAATTGAATTATATGTTTTGGCGGCTAGGAAAGTTTAGCAAGTGTTGTAGCCAAACTACTAGTGAATACACAATGGCAAAGGCGTGGAATGGCAGAGAAGTTAGCGGTAATGATGCATTCAAGATCCGAAGTCTATTTTCGATATGTGTATTGCTTTATTTGTTTCTCGTTATGTGGTTTACAACTGAACTCGACTGGTGCGGTGTAATCGGGTTTCTTGAAGCAACGGAAACAAAATGTACAAGAGCCGGAGTCATTATTTATTGTACGTATGAGTAGGCTTGTTAATTGGATCACATAAGTCGGGCTTTTAAAAATTCAGGTTTAGATCATTTAATTTGTAACACTTTCGAATTTTGGACCCTGAGTTATTTTTATATCAAATCAAATCGAGTTTATATATTGTATACGTAATCTTTTTCTTGACTGTATGTAAGCAAAAACGTGAATGAAATCAAGCGAATATAAGGTGGATTTTACCATTATTGAAAGAGGGCACTTGCTGGACAGACTAAAATTACAGTTTTAGGCATCATAGTTTCAAAATGATTTAATGTTGTCCTATCAAATGATAAATGTACTCCACTAACCAAAGAAAAATTGGCATTTGATAAGTACTAGATACTTCTGGTTTCACCCCAAATAGTTTGCGGTAAGTTAATTTGCATTTGCATTTGAGCCTGTAAGTAATTTGAAAAGAACTCTTATTGAAAAAGAATAAAATGATACACACAACCCATGCCTTAATGATTGCTAGAGTATAAGCCAAATATTATAAGAAGTTTGATTTGCTAGTGAGTTTTTGAACAACAAATATTTGTATTTTAACGAGTTATAGGGGATTAATAGTTTCTTACATATTATTATTGTACTTATTAAATATGTTTCACTACTTGCTATATGAATGTTAGCATTCTCCACTTCCATTCAGGACAATCTTTTTTTTCTAAAAAAAAAAAAAAATCCTTTGATTTGTGCATCCACTGAATGAAAATCGTGGCTCCGCCACTAGGTCAGTAAACTTTATTTTGTAGGATAAAGATTGACTTATCTGGTAAAATGGATTGGAATGATTTTGTTTTCAATACAAACATGATTATATGGAAAGAAATTCGTGTTGCAAATTTACATTTCATTACATTTCTTACCATTAAACATAGGATTCATTTTTTTTTTTTTTTGCTCAAAATTTTCCCTAACAAATGCCTTGTTGCGATCAAACACTTCAATAAGCAGCAAGGAAGGATGCCAAAACCGCAACAAGACCAAGAGCGCTAGAGGCCAGGTGCTTGAAACTTGCATTTTTGTTTTTGTCATCATCAGCATCTGCAGCTGGTGCCTGAGATGCAGGTGCATCGCTCTTGGGGGCATCTGAGGGGGCATCAGGACTGGGAGCTGTGGCATCATCTGATGGAGTCGGTGCCTCGGGGGCCTCGCTAGCTGGAGGAGGAGACACCTTCTTGGCTGGAGCAGGAGCACCAGCTGCCTTGGGTGGTTCTTGAAGAGTGGTGCCATCAACTCCAGGCGTCATAATAGCACTTGAAACACTGATGATGGAGTAGTTAAATGGATGCTGCGTTACTGTTGCAACAACCTGAACATTGTGGGGAGCACCTTTGGCAGCCGAGGAAAATATAAGCTGACCATGACTTCTGTTTAGAATCAAGAAGCCTTGATCGTAAGTTGCCACACCAGTTTTTTGGAACAAGGTTGTCATTCTTGTCCCATTTTTTGCGTTTGCGAGCTTTAGGAGATCATAGTAGTCAAGAACCACATGAGTCATCAAGGTAATTTTAATAACATCAGCCGGTTTACCAGCAAGGTCTCCAATGTGCTCATTAGGGATGGCAAGAATAGTTACGGGTGATTGAGAATTGATGGCTTTAACCAAACCTGCCTTGCTCAAAAGATCATTGAAGTTACTAAAACTGGGGATGTCCCCAAGGATAGCAGTGATGTTAAATGCCGCTGTTGTGACGGAGGAAGCAAGGAGCAAACAAGACAGGAAGATCAAGGAGGTGGAGATCTTGGAGGCACCCATTTTTGGTATTCACCGCCAGAGAATGTGGCTATGAAACAAAAACGTTGCTTCTCTGTCTATGAAACAAAAACGCTGCTTCTCTGTCTATGAAACAAAAACGTTGCTTCGTTCTCTCCTTGCACTGAAAGATGTCGTGCAAGTTAGAGCATTATATAATAGGGGTGAAATGGATTCAAATGATAAGAATTTCGGACTTTAGGGATGGGAGTGAATCTCTCTTTTCTTCAGGATTAGGTAGAATCGATTGGTTGCGCGTAAATAAATAAAAGACATCACAACGTGCCGTGAATCTGAATACAACATTATTTGGGAAAAAAATTTAATTTTATTATAAATACTTTTTTTCAACTATATTTTTAATCGTTCCAACTTCATTTTAATCTTATATACATTATATTATAAAAAGTACTACAATAGCGTTATGCTCAAAATTTTTCAAATAATCCTCCATCCAAACACTCTATTTGATCTTAAAGTGACAGGAATGATTGGATCTAATTGTTTGTTTCTTTTTCTTTTTTTTTTTTTTTAAAAGAAAGAATTGGTCGACCACAACCCTCATCATCGATACTAAATTAAATTATGATAGCTAGGATCACTTTTACCCTATAAATGTAAATATACTGTCAAAAAACAGTTTTACAATATGAAATTACAAAATTTTATTATATTTAATTGAGAAAAATATTTACATGAATGAAAAATCATTTCTTTCCTTGAGACCACGTTTTCTTTGAACAGTTTGTCACCATTCAAAAGTCAAATTAGCCAAATACTAATTCGCGGAATTAGTTGAAACTTTAGCGCTTCCTCGTGGTCTTCAATTAGCTCACTAACGGGATAAATATCAATCATGAAATCTTCCTCATATATCGTTTATAGCTGTTTGTTGATGAATTGAGACAATTTTAGGTACATGCGCATTCCAGTGAGATACCTCAACTGGCATCTGGATCATAGAAACGGTGTAGATGAATATCGATCAATGGCAGAATCTAACAAATAAAAAGGGAAAAAGGGAAAAAAGAAAAGACCATAACCAGAAAGAGGACTAATTCCATTTTTCTTACAGCATATTATGTTGATGTTCCTATACTTATGGTTTGTCTTTCCTTATTTAGAAAATACATTCTAAATAAATAGCTTTTAGCAAAAAGTGTACTTTCTAGCCCCTATTATGTCTGAAGAGCCCTCTAGCCCTTTTGCTGGGAGAGGAGGGATTTGTGGTTGATGACTCTGGGTAAATGAAAGCTATATTTTCTTTTTTTTTCCCCCCTTAATTCTTTTAGCAGGGGAAGGGGAAAATTGACAGCAGGACTTCTAATTTTTAAAACATTAACCTTAGCCACTAGACTAAGGATATTTTCTTTAGTTCTTTGGCTGATAGGAATTTACAAATTATGTTGATTTTCTGAATTTCTAAAACTATACATTGAACTAATTGACCATTATCCTTTTTTCCTTCCCAAAACTTCCGAATAACAAGTACCGATGCAATTGAATTGAACTAGCTCACAAACATGGTCAATAGGTCAACTCAACTTTATTATGACCAGCTCAAATCAAGATCAAGCAGTTTAGTTAAGTGCTTGAGGGCTAGAAACCAAAGATACTCGCTCTGTGGGCTCTTTGAACCTAGTAATATACATGTTCTTCTTTTGTTTTTAATATTTATTTGATAAAATGACCAATTTATTTATTTGATAAATTTTCCAATTTTTTCGAGCTCAATTAAGCTGATTTAAAAAGGAAAAAAAAAAAGTGTCCTGTTGGTTAAATTAACGTCAATTGAACATCAATATGAGTAAGAAAACTAGTGGAAGAGAAGACGAAGATTATAATTTTAGTATATCTTTTCTTAAACTTTACCGTACAAATTCCTACATGACTTGTGGACTTGGATTTCAAATATTTGTAATTAAGGATTTCAATTGCAACAACTAATGAATTTAAGTACGAACATGAAGTGCTTTCTGGAATTTTAAAAAGATTTTCTTTTTTCCTTTGGTTGTCTCCCTTCCTATTAGAACCCAACATTTTAATAATAAAGTTTAAGTTTTAGAATAAATCTTTTATATACTGACAATGTATAAAGTATCATCATTGGATCCACGACACATATGCAGAAGTTAAATTTCAAATTTAAATTCTGCATAATTGTCATTCATCTAAAACTGACAATATATATATGCTATCGGTATATAGAAGATTAATCCAAAGTTTTAATGTATTTCTTTTAATGTCCATTCTATAAAAAATATATTTTATTTGAAAATAAGTTGACAACAATTGAACTTTGAAAAGAAATTAATAAAGGTCAACATGATTCACGCATAGTATATGGGTAAATTCTGTAGTGTATTCAACTAATCCAAAACAGGTGTGGAAAGTAAAGAATATGGCAAAGAAGCCGGCACGTTGCAACCTGACATGTACGGACGATGAAGGGAATATTTCTAAAAAAGCAAGTGGTGACCTATAACCGCGGTTTAGAAATGTAGCGTACTGCAGAAGCTGGATATGTATTGGAGTGTCACGGAATTAACATAAATATAATGGGCCTAAAATAAAGGGATAATTGCAGAAACCTCCCATGAGGTTTCTAACACTTGCACTGACCTCCCCTTTAGGTTTAGAAATGGCATTCAGCACTCCTAAATAGGAACAATTCGTTGCAGAAACCTCCGCTGAGGCTTGATGTCCCATTAAAAAATTATTTGTAGAAGTGAGATAAGAAATTTCTTTCAATTTTGCCCTGATCTTGCTTGATAATTAGTATTAACAAGGAAGGGGTATAGGCATTAAGGATAAAGCAAGTTCAAGGGGTATAAATGCAACATATTTTTCATTTCAATATCTAGTTTGGTTTGATGAGTGTTTCGGAATTACATGCAATTAAATTTCAAATTTACCTCTAATATAATAATTCTTATAAAACAAAAGAATTACACATATGACAAATTAATATCTCCATAATTGTAACTACAATAGTTATTAAATTTTTTGATAAAATATAAGAAAATCATAAACCATAACAAAAATTAATACTAGAAAATAAATATAGTGGCTGTATTAATAAGGAGTAAATTCCTAAAAAGAGAGTTTTTAAACTAACATTCTAAAGGGTGGCGTTTTTTGAGTCTCTTTCCAAAGGGTAAAAAACGCATCGAAAGAATGCGTTCTTCCAAATAAAAATGCAACTTTCAAATACATTATTTTAATTTTCATAAATTTGTTTAAATATGAAAAATTGGTTAAATAACGCATAACATACCAGCTCTTTATGGGAAACTGGCAGGTTTTGT